GTGAGTTTATAACTATTTGGAAGCAACTCATGGATTATTGAATCTTCAAATAAAGTTATTCGACTGAAAAGCAATAAATAAAATATTAAGCATTGAGTGAAAAATTTTTGGTATTAACTGAGAAAAACGTCTTTGAGAAGAGTCTGTTGTGAGACTTGAGATCATTTCAATTGAACACAAAATCAATAGAAAAACTCATTTATGTTGTGATTCTTGTTTTGTATTTAATTATCGTTTTGCCTCTTATGCCCTAAATTAGCATTTATTTCACACAATGTATTGCAAAACACAACTCATATTACAATCAGATTTTTCTTTTTCAATAATTTTTATTCTTTCATTCTTTTTATTCATACATTTCTGTCGATTCAGTGATTAATTACTTAACATTTGTTATTTCTCTTTCAACAAATTTAGGTCAAAATATGGTTTCAGGTAAGACTTATTTCAATGTGTTTTGAGTATTCATTTATAAACTAATGATGAAATAATGAAATGTAAAGAACCGGAGGACCAAATGGAAGAAACAGGACGGCATCTCCAACACAGAGGCCGCCGATTATAAGGTCGGCGCTGATAAACGACCCAAAGACCAGTCGACCGGTAATAAACATAAATCAAACAAATCAGTGAAAAGCAATACGAATGCAAACAATAGTTCAAAGACTTCAGCTCTTAATCTGTCAAATGTCTCGACTGTCGGACAAACGTCTTCTTGCAGTCAAACGAGTGAAGAAACGGTTCGTAATATCAGTACTAATAGTAACAGCAGTTGTTGTTCGACCACTAAGAATGGCATTTCAGACATTCATACAAATACTTCCAGTGTATTGAATAATAATCATAATAATAGTAATAATGATAATAATTATGACTTCGACTTTAAGCCGGAAATGGATGAAAATGATTCATCGAGTCCTCGATCTCTAAGAATAGCGGATCCATTGGATTCGGACGGCGAGAGAGACTCGTCAATGGCTTTTGATGACGAGGACGACGACGAAGACGAGGAAAATACAGATAATAAAGAGCACAACAGAACGATAGGCGCTGGCAATCAAACGACTACTTTAACAGCAAGTAAGCAAAACTGTGCAAATGTTACGGTTGATGGCTATAGTGATGATCAAAGCAAACCATTGACTGATAATAAAGTTTTTCGATTGGATTCGTGTAATGAAAAGAGTGTTAACGGAATCAATGCTAAGAATTTCACTACAGATACACATTCTCTATGACTGCCAACAAAGCCATCAACACATTAAAGTTGAGACAACTTTTCAAACGGGAAGGCATTGCCATAACTGCAGCTTTTGATTGTGTCTTAACTGCTGCACAATTGCCTTAACGCTTACACCAACACCTCATCAGACATTTGTCCCATTCATTAATATACAAACTATTGTACAAAATATCCATAAATTAATTTTATTCATACAAAATACAAATATTAACAGATATTTCATAATATATTTATTTGACTTTACATTAAATTATTTTTAATTATTGTGATAGAGATGTATAAAAATGAGTTATTCCTAACGATTATTATTTACAAGAATCAATTGTAAGCCAATTATGAGTAAAACTGATGGCTTAAAAACCTTTAAATGCCTAAAATGTCTTCACGTGGAATATATTACAGAATATTCTGTTTAGAAATTTTGGCAAAGTTTTGGTTTTTCTACAAAATGTAATTATTTATTGTTAAATAACTAGTGATTCCTCTCATTTAAACGCAAATATTTTTACTTTACTCTCATTTACTATTTAGAAAAGAACTTCATTATAATGATAGTTATGTTATATCTATTTAAATGCAGCAAAAAATGTAATTATTTTTTCGCTAATACTGTAGTGAACAATGATATTATTCTACATCTATGTGGAGAGAGAGAGAGAGAGAGAGAGAGACATGAATTTTGAAGCATTTGTGAAGAAATATATGCGTTTTATGAGATGAAAGTCAGTAAAAAATAGTTGAATAAATTAAACATTGTTTTTGTGTAATTATAGTTTATTTGTGCAAAAAATTTAAACATTTAACTAACAGTTAATCATTTTTGTGAATGTATTTAATGCACGCATTCTTTTGATACATAAGACTTAACACCAAATCTAATGTCTTTTTTGTTTTCACTATTAAAGTCACAACATATTTAACACTACATTACAGTAAATTATTGCCTCAAAATAAGTTTACAGAATCCATTGTAAAGCTATTAATATATTGAAAAATTACAGAAAAATTATATTAATATGATATTTACCCCATTATATGACCTCAAGTACTGAAAGTAGCATTTTATGCGATCCATAGGAGTGGTCAGGAATGAGATGGCATTTGTCTGTATTTGCCTACAAGTGATTGTCAGTCAAAAGCTGAAAGCCTTATACATTGAGTTTATGTAACAATAATACTAATAATTAAGGTATCGATTAGTTTAATGTTAATGTTGTAAATGTGCTTAAAATATAAGTCAATAATAGAAAAGTATTTATTCGCTAATTAGTAATCATTAGACTCTATCTCGGAATCGATTCAATCCTCTCTCTCTCTCTCTCTCTCTCTCTCTCTCT